TTTGTTTGTACGTAGGCATGTTTATATGTATTAAATTATATTAAATAAATTTATCATCCTACAAATGAAATAATTATTGCTTAAAAAAATATTTACGTTAATTATTGATTTACATCGAAATTACATGTATCGAAATGAATAATTAATTATTTGGAACCAGTGATTATTTGTTTTTTACGGACTGTTAAATTTTTGAGTTACATATTAAATAAATCTCATTTAAAAAAAAATTTATTTACTTGGTCATGCTTTACCTTGCGTATATCTACTCAATTCCAACGGAAGGAACCGTTTTCATCAAAGATACAATAACAGACAAGTTAATGACCCATCGAGAGTTTGGCCTTATATTCCTGGTTTATTAAGCAAAGAAAAATAAGAGATCCAGCCGCCAGGCAAGCCAATAATTTATCATCGTCGTTGTCGTACTGTAATTATGTGGCTCGTAAGTGTACGTCACATGTTTCGGTGGTGGCGTTGCGCTTTTTACGTAGGACGATCTTCGCTTTTATACAGAAACACTTTAAAAATTGAGAAATAATACTGAAACGACGACAAAAAAAAAAAAAAAAAGGAAAAAATTCACCGAGTGGCGAGCGCGTACGTACATGCATTACATACCTACATAAAACCATAAAAATTGCAAGCGGCGAGCAATCGTAAATTCTGCAACGCAACGTATCCCTCTCTTCTCCTCGTTCCTTACACATTATATAAAAAACGTTTTAAAAAAAAAAAAAAAAAAAAAAAAAAAACAGGAATGAATCTCCCGAGGGATTAAATACGGCCAGTATTGTGTCTTCTCCCTTCCTCTTTTTTCCATGCAAAAAGATACTGCGTGTATCCGTCTACATACGTGCGAAGACGCAAAAATGTGCACAGCTGTCAAGCGCATCGCATGGCACGCTGAAAAGTCCTACCGAGTACCATATACATATGCCCTGCACGAGAGACCCTCGCCCTATTGTAGGTCGGGGAGGGATGATTTATTCGAGACGAGAGTTTATGTATATTGAAAACGTCATCGTGTCCAAGGAGTACGATGCAGTGGGTTGGGATTGCGGGAGGACGGAGGGATCAAAATGGAATGCGAGGAGATGATGAGCGAGAAGGTGGTCGATCGACCGGTAAAAAATCGTTTATTAGATAATCTCTGCACCTAATCTGATTAAACGTGGACGATGATGGTACATTCAAACATGGGAAGGTTTTATCGAAAGCGTTTAGTCACACGGGCGGGCTGATTCGAGTGATGTTACAAGAAGAAGCGGAGGAGGAGGGCATACCGTTGCTTTGGTCCTAATTATTGGCCCACTTATATTTTAATTGACTTACAGAGTTTACCAACTTGCTCGAGTCGTCTCATTAAGAATTTAATTCCGGACGGCCAACTAACGAACAACTACTGTACTTGTTAACATATTCCATGATCGTCGTCGAGAGCGTCAACTGGCATTGTTCGACTATTGCTATGAAGTTCGATTCATCCAATCAATTAAATAACGGTACGCGTCAAGAATGTAATGCATTCAATCGATTGCCCCTATAGTCTCGTGTGACGAAAAAAAAGTTGAATCAAAATTCATATGGATACAAGGATACTGAAGATAGGGCAGGACTATGGAGTAATTTTAAAGCTAGGAAACTTTATCGATTATTATGATCCATACCATCATGAAAAAAAACTTTCACTCCAGAGGTACTTTTTATTGTGTCACTGTAAAGATTTGGAGATTTTCACTGCATGTTAAGCAATTTAACGGTAAAAAGTACAGTGGCTCTTTTTCACCGTGTATGACTAACAAAATGAGCGAAATGTTCTACAAACCCGTTAAAAAAACATTTCTAATTTAAGTCGCACCAGACACCCAGTAAGAGTTCGTAATACCCTCTAATACCCAAAAATTACCATCTCAATGAGACGATGACGATCGACCAATCACCCAACCATTAGCCCGCGACACTTTATCCAAGCGCCCCCAAGACTCCATTATCCTGTTTTTCGATTTCATAACTTTCCCGACCAACTGCACAGCCGGCGGGGCAGGCGGCAAGCCGCGCAATCCTCGCCGTCATCATCGTGATACTGCCGTCGTGACACAATCTCTCGATTCCCACAAAAGAAGAGAAAGAAAAAAAAAAAAATAAAGAAAAGCGTGGGCGTAAGCAACGACTACAACACGTTGCGGGCGTATACTTATCGAACCGAGAATAAATAAAATTACGTGTCCATTGTACAGACACAGTTGCGAAACTCTACCAAATTTTGTTTTTTATTTTGGTTTTTTTTTTATTGGTTTCTTTTTATAAAAGTCAGGCATTCTACCGAGGAAGAGTGAGAGAGAGAAAGCGTAAAAAAGCGGGTCGACGCACCTGTTACTACTACTCCGCTTCTAGTGGTCCTTTTGCTCCTTGGACTCGCTGTCCCGAGAGTCTCCTCCGCACACTTCTCCTTTTGCTTCTTTTTTTGTCTCTTCGCTTATTCAAGTCCAACGACGGGACGCTACGATCCTATTGTACTATGTAAATTTACACAATCAGCTATGAAACAACAATAAAATCTGCACTCCAACGGCATCAATTTAAATTAGCATCGAACAAAAATCACTGTACATCCATCTATCTCTTCTAGCAACCCAACAATATTCATTACCGAGGTTGACCGGATAACGACATTATCAGGAAATCATCACTCAACACTCTGGTGTTGTTGCTTCAATAGTTAACGAACATAATCAACATCAATTTGTTGATTGTTAGCGAACAAGCACTCGGTTTCTGTCTTACGAAAAAAAAATGTAAGTAAAAAAATTAACAAATAAACAAATAAATGAGTAAAGTGACACTAATTTTGTAGTACGAGTACAGAGTTTGCACGGGAGACCAAAGGAAAGTGAAGCTGGTACAAAACACCGTTGCACTCGCAGGGGTTGAAAAAATTTGTTTCCCCCGCACTTATTTTTCGATTTTCTTTTTTGTTGTTGTTTTTTTTTTTTTTTTTTTTTTCCTGCCTACTTTTCCACGCACAACCCCCCCCGACACAGTTGCCCAAACATGCACTACTTTCTTTTAAATCCTTGGAATAAACAACGGTATACAGATCGTAGTGGCGCCGAAACCGTACCGATCTCGAGTCGCAAATCCGCGCCAATGCCACGGAAACTTGTAAGAAAGATCCGCGGCTCTCTGCGGCAAGAGGCAAACTGAGCCGCGCTTCCAAGTCCTCTCCTTAGCAAGGTGGCTCGCTGTCGCTGCTCAAAGGAGCCGGAGGAGGAGAACCAGCAGCCTTGTAATTCTCCTCTCTCGCTTCAACGCTCGCGGTTTCTCGTCTTGCGCGCGGGCCACATACATATATACCCACTCTCCCATGGTGAATGTAGTACGACACACACTCGCCCTCCACACCTACATACTCGTATCTCTCTCCTGATGATATGTGTACACCACCTTTCCTCTTTGCCTTTGCACACACACACACACGTACAGCGTGCAAACATGGGTACTGAAGAAAGTGAGCGTGTGGAGGGGTTCGTTCAAAGAGATCGCGCATGCGCCGTTACTTACCGATCTCTCGATCTTTCTTTTTCTCGCCCTTTTGATTCGTTTCTCTCTCTCTCTCTCTCTCTCTGCGCTGCTTTTGTTTGTACGTAGGCATGTTTATACTTATATTTATACGTACGTGAAATAGGACAGAAAAGTAAGTGTAAGCGCGTGGCCTTTGCAGAAAATCACGGGGAAGAGA